GGCATGTCGATGTGGTACTCATCAGTGCCGCACTCTAATACAAAATTCAGCATAAACAACCATAATAAAGAACTAATTAAATTGATTAAATAAATTATCAGTGCGGCACTGATTTTGCCAATGCGGCTACCATGCGGCACTGATTTTTACCAGTGAGGCGCTCTTTCGGCAGAAATATAGCGGCACTAGTGCGCACGGGTTCCAATCGGCACTGGTTCGGCACTTGCTGGGCACGGGTGCGCACCGGTGCCAGTGATCGATAGTATGCCATGCGCATCGGTGTGCACTGGCAGTGCCACACTGGAATTTTTTTTATAGGGTATGTTCTATGAGTTGAAGATTTTCTGAAAACTATCTTCTGGATCAGAAGAAAAGAGAAAGTAACGTAAAAATTTGAGCGCCTTTTTCCTCAGTGCAGCGTCTCAGTATTTTCAACATGAAAGACTGACCCTAAGAAATTTAGCGACAGAAAAGCATTATTCCATGGAAAACAACATGATAAACAACTTCTACACTCACATTTCCGCTCCAAAATGCTTCCCCACAGAGAAACTACAGGCAAGATTTCGAAAACGCACACTTTTGGCTCCCAAAAAACATTTTGAAGGTCAAATCCGAATTTCTCCGGCAAACCTTGTCGCGGAACGACAAGAATCTTTTCATATATACATCTCGAGGCGCCCTATGGATTGGTTACAAAACCGAGGTTTCAAACTGAAAAGTAAAAATTTTATTAAATTTTTAAAAAGTGAGCAAAAAAGGCCGTAAAAACTTCAAAATTTTTTTTCTCGAAAACTAGCTGTCCGTAAACCTCCAGAAGTTTTCACATATGTTTTAAAGTGTCTTCTACAATCTGGCAAAGTTTGAACCAAATCTGAATGGGATAAATTGCTGAGTGGTGATTTTGAGCTCAAGCTTTAACTGAGTGAATTAATTGCATCATGTTCCTGAAGACCGGTTAAAACATGGTGAGATTAGCATTTCAATTGTATAAAGAAAAGTTTTTCAGAGCATTCAGAATTCCTTTTACAGAATCTATAACAGATATTTTGAGGAAATCTGCTTCACGTGTGCTCGAAATTTGGCAAAGTTTTGCACAAAATCTTGCGTAGATCTGTTACAAATTGTGACAAAATTCTTTGCAGACAATGCACAGAATCTGTTAAAATTCTGCTAAAATCTGCAGTAGATCTGTGCAGATTCTGCACTGAATCTGTTACAAATCTTGTCTACAATCTGCATGCAGATTCCACAATGGGCAACCATGCAGACATTAGGTGGAAAAACGAAAGTGAGATTTTTCTAAATTTTAATAATGTCAAATATACTATGATTGATGGCCTATTAGATGGCATAAAAATCATTATCGTGGCTTTCATATTCTATCGGAAAAAGGCAGCATGAAACTGAGGTTGAAAACGTGATGTGTAGGATTTTTTCTCGAACGTGCAAAGTGTTCTCAAACAAATTATACATATTCTGAAACTAGACTTCAGGCTCTATCGAATCCTAAAAAAAGTTTTTATTTTGGCCTTTTCGCGTCGCAAAAAATAATTTTTCTATCTGCGCTAAGTGTTGTCTGAAAAGATGTATTCAGTATAATGAGTGCGCGAACTTTGGAGAAACTCCAAACCCAATGAAACTTTCACAGAATACCCTTCTACTTGTGATGCATCTTTACACGCAGCATAAAGATGCGTAAATAGTCCGGTCTGAGTTGCAGGCTTTTCAAAAACCCTGGCTTTCAGATAAAATCCATTTTCATATATTTAAAAGCGCAAACGAAAACCTATAAAAATAGTGTTTAGAGGCTTTCGTATCATTTTTATCGCACATGTCCACGTACCGAGTTCAAATTGTCGGCTGTGGATTCTACTCAGATAGCAGAATCTGTGCAGACCTGTTGCAAAAATTTACAGACAAGTTTTATTCGGATTTTAGTTCCAAGTCAACTTCCTTGAGCCCATTCGCGACACGAGTCGCTAAGAAAATTCTCGGTGAGATTGCACAATACATTCGCTGTAAGACTCGCGAAATAAGATTTCTGCGGTCGCGGTCTTGTCGCACTTTAAGAGTAACTATGCGACATTTTCGGTTGTCAAGCGCGATCGTGGTGCATTCGCTGCTATTGTCGCGTCGAATCATATAGAAATATGACATCAATCTTTTACATGCATTTCTCACTGTTGTGCATTTTTACTTTGCGATCGTTGCACATTCAGCATGTTTAATAGAGCCTATATACATGCAGAAAAAGCCTTTATACTTCGTACATTTTCTGAGGATGATGAACCCTACTGGCTTTTCTAAGTACTTGAGCGAAGTTTAACTTTGTGACTAAACAATATTATAAGAAGAAATTATCTCTGCCAACCAAAATTCCCATTACAATTGCTGTGTACTTATCTTATGTTAATTATACACCTTTGATTATAATATTTTCTTCAGAAAAACGAAAAAGCAGCGATAAACTGCGCAAAAATTGCACTTAAAAAAGCTCTTCACACTGTGCTATAAATAGAAGAAATGATAAGTCTATATATCTCTCCCATGATCATATGCTGAAAAAGAACAACGGTGAAACGATGCGCAGAACTTATAGCACGTGCTTTTTTATGCACGTGTTTTTTTCTTTTTTCCTGACCAGAAGTAACATAAGAGAATAGAATATAATATAATTGAGGACAATCAAAATAGTTAATTTAAGCAAAAGCTTACTAGATCGAACTTAAAATCGTCTGTGAATTAATCTTCATTTTAAGTTCTACCGTCTGTTTAATTTACAGCATATCGTGAGTCGTGCTAAAACGTATAAAATCCGCTCTTGGGAGTAACAAAAACCCGCCGAGCGATTCGCCAGTCTCAGCGCGACTTTAGAAAATTCTTGCTCAAATAACAAAAATTTTTCTGGCCGCTAGAGATATTTTAAGACTCACGGCGAGACTAAGAGAAATTGACGATCGCGGCATGGTTTCAAAACTTAACTAAAAACCTTGTCTGAACGACAGTCTTCATGTCGTTAAAATTGCTCCATTCTTGACGATTACTTGCGATTAGCAACAAAATTGCCAATTAATCGCAATTTTGACTGTAATCGTCCATAAATTGCGATATATTGGCGATTTTTAACAACTGATTAGACGATTAATCGGCTTGCATGAAAAATCCCCAGTTGTTAAAAATCACGGATATATCGCCAGTCTTAAAAACATCTCAGATTAATTATGATTAATTAGAGATCCGGGTGATTTTTCTGTTTTTTTTTTAGTAATGGTCAATTAATTGCGATTAATCGTTGATTTTAAGCCATTAAATGGTTTTTTGTTATTCATCGTTTTATTCTGCAATAGAGTAAGTATATAAGAAACACGATTTCAACGAGAAATGTTCTTCTTTTCAGATTATCTTTGGAGTTTAGCTTAAACTGGAGTTGTCAAGAGTGTTCTCTGTATTTTCCTCAGAGCTGACTCATTGCTTCGATTTGAGTCAGCTTTGAACCGAGGAGCCTTCTTGACTGTTATACTATCAATTGGCCGATTAATAGCTACTAATCAGTAAAATCGCCGATTTCATTGACGATTAAGCGCACGATAAAGCGGCTGAGTAATCGCTAAAAAAACGTCGATTTATGGCCGATTTTGACTACATGGGTCACTATAGCGAGTCATGGACCATGACTCATGGCACGGTTTCGTTATTTGAACAGATCGCGGTAAGCAAAAGGTACTTCTACAGGTCGATCGCACACTCACACTCCACACACACCACAGTAGGGGGTGTGATCAATCTGTAGAAGAACCCAAACGCGATATTTTAGCGATCGCAGCGTGAGTTACGTGATTGTAAAGTCGTCGTAGCGCGAGAACCGCGTTCGCGTCGCGAATGAGGCAAGAAAAACACACAGTGGACTTCGGTGAATATCTCAGTAACTTTATTAGATCAAAAAAAATAGAATCTCAGTTGATCTTTGATTAAATTTAATTCACTAACACTAAATTTAATTCACGTAACCAATTGAATACGTATAGTTCTATTTTTTAACTCTTGGATATATTGATATCCACAGATTGTGTGATTAAATTACTCAAAAACAAAACGGAATGCTAGCGACATCTACCAGTGGCCGTATCTTAGTTTAAAGAATCCTTCAAATAGAGTACGTAATAAGAGCAATTTGATCATTTATCTTAGCGGTACTGATCAACGAAATGAATGAAAACCATTTCGAAAGACAAGCTCTCCCATACGCCAAAAATTCCGTCTAATGAAGAAATTCTGAAACATCGAGTAAAGTTTTATTTTATTTCTGGTTTTGAGATGTTAGCTTTTCACCTACATATCTTTTGTTTTCTTTTTCTACGTGTTTCAGTAGCAGAAAAAGCGCCAGATGATCTGTATCGGAGAATTCTGTAGGCTAATATTCCATAAAACGATGTGTACCAATTTTCTCAAATCCCTTATGCGATAATAACTGAGTGAGATGATTATAAATGAGTTCATAGAAGGAAGATTCACGAAGATGGAAAGGAAAGTATCACTAAAGACCTATGCTTCTTTTTTCTATTTGTTAGAAACAGCTAGGATAAAAAGGCTCATGAAGGCTTAGCTTCAAATTATATATTCCTGACTTATCAAAGCTACATTATCCAATAAATGTAATCTTTACCATTGGAGTCACCAGTGATTGTTTTGAACTCCTTACTCCTCTACTTGAGGAGTTCTTTACAATATTTGATAGATTATAAACTCTTAATCGCTCACGAACGATGTTGATATCTAGCAACGAACTTTGTAGCTAACTAATAAAAATGATGAACGTTTTTTATTCAGTAAAATCAGCAGCATGTTAACAGATGGTATTTGCTCCAAACTTTTCTGAGAAGAATTGCAGTTTTAATAATTGCTCGTATATGATTGATTCTTATTATTAATTCTGCTATATCCAAATAATTTTTCTTAATCTCTTGGTTTTGTTTTAGATCATTTAACGGAACACAATTATGTCAGCATCATCAAACTTTGTAGAAGATTTGGGTGATCGTCGAAATTCAAGTTCATCTAAACGTTCAGCGCAATCGACACCAAATTCAATGGATGGCGAAAAAACTTTTCAATATTATAATGACAGGTGACTGAATACAGACTTTGATCAAATAAAAAATACGTCACATTCATACGGTTTTAGTGAACAAAGTCGTATACAAATGCAGCAGGAACAACGACCGTCAAGAAAAAATTCTCAAACAGAATATTCAAATGACAAATTTGGTTTCAAAAATTACGATCAAATCGTGCAATATCTTCAAACAGGTATGAATCGAAATAGCATACATCCTGATTGCGTCTTTTAAAAATGTTTCGCCGGAAAATAACGTTTAACAATTTCAAGTAGATTGTCTATCATTACATTTTTCTCTGTTGACACTTTGTGAATAATACCCTATTTTTTATGTTCTAGTTTGGGATAATGTTTGTGCAAGCATTCCTTATCGAGAAAACCAGTCACAGTCACAGTCACAACCGCAACACTCGCAATATCATCAGCAATTACCACAACATTCAAATCGACCACAAGGCAGTGGATTTTCTGGTAGACAAATTCGTCATTATAATTCAGACTATGTTCCTCAACAACAACAACAACAAAATCGATTGTATTTTCGATCTGGCAATGGACCAAGATGGGAGCAAAGAGGCGTTCAACCATCTCCACCGACACAACGAAGAGATAGTGGTCCTTCACAACAATCGTACTATCGTCAACAACAATATTATCAGCAAAACCAAACGGGTGACAAACAACAAGATCAACAATACCATAACAGAAGTAAGTAAAAATGCTGAGATAATCACTTCATCTTATTATCTCGCATCCAAAGTGGCCATCGCTTTCAATTTCTGTTCTGACATTTATATGAGTGATGAAAAAACCTAAAATTTCAATAAAATCTGATTTTTAATTGGAATGTATGTTATTCAGAAAATCGTTCAGATATGGATAATTATTCACAACGAAAAGCAAATGGTTATAACAATAATAACAATAATCCGTCACCTTCGAATATTCCGGTTAGTAACAGTGTTCACACATCACAGTCAATTTCGAATATTCATTCATCATATCAACAACCATCACAACAACATTATTCGCCATCATCGCCAATGTCTTCAGCTCAATCTTATCCAAGTAATTTGAATTCGTACAACAGATAATAGTTAGGGTTATTAAAAACTTTTGTTCGTTCTCTTATTACTTTTCTGTGCGAGTGATGTTTTTTTCTTTGAAAATAAAACAATAAAATAGTTTTACACTTTCTACTGTATGTATTGTAGTTTTAATCACTGTTGTCTCTTCTATACTACATAGTCGGCAGATATTCAATTTATACTCAGATATTTTAAATCTATCGAGTGTTAGCTATTTATTTTGTTTGAGCAGTAGTTCTTTTTATTCTTACAAAACATTCTCAATTTTTTTTTGTTGCCATATCTTTTATTCAATCTCATTCATTTCGAGTTGTTCAGATGTTTTTTTTTTTGTGCATGTATTTTCTGTATTTGTATTTGTATTGGTACGCTTTTATCTTTAATTAATCTCATCGTTATTTCATTCTTTTATCGTTTTTGTTATTAGAGATGGGCGTAGAACTCAATTCCTACGGCTAAAGTTTTTAACTTGTATGATATATATGGAAGTACAATCGTTAACCGCTATTCGTCCCCGCTATTTGGTACTCTTTTTTGGTGAAAAATTTCAATGGAAAATAAACAAAAAACAAGGTCAGAAGTTCGATTTTGATCATAAGTTGACTTCGAAAACTTATCGCTGTTTCATCTAAGAAAATTTGTAATGTTTTAGCTAAAAATTTATCTCATTCAGATTTAAACAGAAAATTTGTTGCAAAACATCTATTCCATTATTGTAGAAGTAGTAGAAAAAAAAAGAAGGCATACTCCAGATACTAGTAACTAAACACGTAATAAAACGAGCCATTTTGTGATGGAATGTTTGAACGACAATATCTAGTATTGATACAACTAGAGAAAATGAAATGAATGCAGCATTCTATGCGCTAAGAACGTTAGTTTCAATCCTGACTCTTACCTTAACAATTGTAAAGTGATGAGAAAGAAATAAGAAATAAATTGGACATTTTTTCACATGTTATGTATTTTATTTTTAGATATGCTTATTAAAACATTTTGTCTATTCCATTTTTCAAATGTAGCTGTCCGAAACGTATGACAGAAATAACCGTTGAACAAAAGTGAGTCTTCTTTTCTAGGCACTCACTATTTGGGTTTTATCTATGAATATTGAGCCGAGCAATTCGTTATACTTGCATCATCCTCCTTTCCTCTCTTTTTCTCCTAAATAAAATTTTCTCCTCCTTTTACCCATTTTCTCCTTTTTGATAAAAAATGGACAACTTTGGCTGGTTTTAGAACAATGTTTAATCAAAGAGCCTTTTTAAAGGCTTAGTCATCATACGTTGGTTCTTATCTTTCACATAGTACCGTCTGTTGTTGTGGTGATTGTTACAATGTGACCTGGGCCCTTATTACACTATAAGTATTTTTGTGATCGATAGACACTTCTTATCCCTGCATACCAAGTCACTAGTAGTTCTGTATTTGGTATGTGAAAATAAAATGTAAATATTAAATAACTAACTTTAAATAGATCATTGGCTAGCGCTTGAAAAACTGCATGTGTCTGTTATGGTTTAATTGCAATAATACAAGATGAGCTATTTTACGTTAAAAATAATTAATGAGATGAGGGTCATCATTCTATTCAACAGGCTTTTACATAACATAGAACAATATTCCTCTCTTTTGTTTTTTCTTTCTGTGTGTGTTCGCACAATGTAGATGTAAAAGCCTGTTGAACAGGATTAACGTAACACAGCTCATCTTATATTATTGCAATTAACCCATAACAGATACATGAAGTTTTTCAAGCGCTAGCCAATGATCTATTTAAAGTTAGGTATTTTGGATGAGTTTTAGATAGGCCCAACAATTTTTTATGTAAAATTTGACTAATTAATTAAAAACACAATTTTTATCCGTCAGCTATTTTTGATAATTTCTTTTTTTCATCGTATAGTCCAGACTTTGCTCTTTCGAACGGTATATAAACAAAAATTCTATCTGTTCAATACACATCCAAATAGAAGTGGAAAAGTGATCGTACGAACGCTTATTGCGCGAAAAAAGCAGATCAAACTTAATATTCTATCTTTTGATAGAAGAATTTTAGATAAAAATCTGTTGTTAACAAGGAATAAAGCTGAGACTTGCTATCTAATGATAAAAAAGAAATCTTCCTATATTCTTCTTCTTTTAGGAGGTAATGGCGATTTTTTTTTCATTACAAATTTTTCGTCCTCCATCGTACGAACACATTTCCACTAACTGTATCTTCCAATCACTGTCTGTCGTGTAGGTATGGGAGGACCGGGACTAGGACTAAAAATGATTTTACCCAGGGTTGGCGCCAAGAATATTTTTTGATAATTTCGTAAAAGCAGCTAAAATTTTCTCTCACTCTCTATTCATCCTATATAAATAGCTTGCACATTTCGAATTCAAGAGATTCCATTCGTTCTCGCTAACATGTGTCTGGTACTTTCTTTTCTTCCACTCAATTTTGTAAAATAAAAATTTTCAAAAGATACTAGAGTACTCCCTTTGTGTCAAGATATAGTCAAATTCTGTTGTACTCATCTATTATGTCAAATTAGTGTTTTGGGCGTAGGATTTACATCTTCTTAGGACTTTGCGATTCCTTCTTCTTAATTCCTCTTTTTTAGAAAAATCTCAGTACGAAACTAGTTTATACCTTGTTAGTGATCAAAATTTCAGTCAGATAACTGTTGTTTTTCTATTTCAGTGACTTGAAAGAAACTTCATCAACACCGTTCACGGTTTTAATGGACGATACAACGGGTGATGATCATTTTAGCAATTCAACATCATCCTTAATAGATTTTGATTTATTACAAATTGATGATAAAGAATTTGATATTCCACAGTTAGATTATTTGCCAAGTTTAGAAAGTATATTAAATGAACAGCAACAAAATCATCTATCATACAGCAATCACAATAAATCTGATACATCATCAGTTAACTCGAATATCTATCCGTCGAATGTTAATGGATTTCTATCATCTCAACAATCATCTTCATCCTTTGATTCTTTACTAACAAATGATTATAATTCTTCATTATTTAAAATTCAACAAGAATCTCCATCAAGTTCAGTACTTGATGATCCTCAATTCGATATTCCTAAACATGTTCAAACAAATCATGGTTCATTAATAAAAATAAATGAGTTAAATACAATATCGAATCAAGTTCAATCATGTATAGAACGTACAAGTTATGGAAATCCTACAAGTATTGATGTAATTTTAAATCGTCTTTTAGCCATTGGTACAACAAAAAGTTGTGTACTCATATTTGAACATAGAGCACAAACATTAAAATATTGTTTAAATGCGACAATGAATTTAAATGGTGCCGTATCAGCATTAAGCTTCAATTATGATTGTACACGTTTATTAGTAGGTTATGCTAGAGGACGTATTCATATGTATGATTGTACGAATGGAAAACTATTACGAAATATATCCGATTGTCATTCACCTAACACAGCTGTATTACATGTTAAATTTACACACGATCCAACCATCGCTTTATTTAGTGATAGTGGTGGAAGTGTTTATGTTATGCAATTTACTCGACATATTAAGCGTGGTTATCAATCAAAATGTTTATTTAGCGGTAGTCGAGGAGAAGTATGCTGTATTGAACCATTAGTATTTGCCGAAACTACTGAAAAATTAAAACAACATCCATTAAAGTCGATGTATATTGTTGCTTTAGCAACATTTACAAAACTATTTATTATTTCATTGAAATCACATGGACAAGTTAAAATATTGCATATTCATCGAATGTTAGGAAATTCATCAACGTTACCCATACTTAAATGGCAATTTATTATTATTAATATTGGAAATGAAACACAATGTATTGATCCCGTATTAGCAGCTGTTAGAGATAAACAATGTACTTTTTTTCAAGTAATAATATTCGACATCTTGCTTCATATATTAGTTGTAGATAATTTTTATTTTATTTATAGATTCAACATATTCGTGACGATGAAGTGCATATAACTCAATTGAAACAGATCACTGTTGATTATCATATTAAATCATTTTGTTGGTTAAATGCACGTGTATTTGCTTTATTTGATATATCTGAACGTTTACATATTATGTAAGTTTCTCTACAACATTTTTATTTATTATTCTATTTATTTTGTACTTAGTGATCAACGTTCGGAAGAACAATTAGAATGTATATCGTTATCTTATTGTCAACTTGTTTATAATACAGCATTCTTCAAATCTTTGGCAACTGGTGGAAATGTTAGTTGTGCTTTGGCATTAGCTGGACAAAATGCATGTTATTCTACGATTATTACAAATCAAGGATGTATATTTCTATTAGGTACAACTATTTTGTATGAACTTCAACTACGAGATTGGAATGAACGTATTGATTATTTTATTGAAAATGGAAAAAATCAATATGAACAAGCATTAGAATTAGGCTATTCAATGTACATTGGAAAAGCGAAAGGTTTGACAGGTAAAGTATCGATAATTAGAAACATTTTATAAAATATATCGACGATAGAGAGTTAGAATTAACTAAAAAAAAAGGAATGATTAACACGAGATAATGAGATGTGTATTTAACAGATAATTTTATTTTAGGTTTACCAATTGATCAAGAAAAACGTCATCAATGTATAAGTGATAAAATGGTATCATTATTAAATTCTTATTTAAAATTAGCGTTAAATTTTGATTGTCCACAACATGGTAAAATTGATTTATTAAAACAACATTATAGAAAAGTATTACCACGAACAATTGATTATTGTTTATCAATGGATCGTCTCGGTTTATTATACGGACAAATATATGATCTATTTTCAAAAGACAGTATAGCACATGGAATTTATTTACAATGTTTAGAACCCTATATATTAAAAGGACGTTTTGATTCAATAGCACCCGTTATTATGAAAGAATTTGTTAATTATTACGTCGAACAAGGTAATTTGATCTTTTCAGAGCTGAGAAAGTCAAGTCTAGTTTGATTTGAGAAAAAAAAAAACTAAATATAAAACTTCATTGAAAATCATTTTTAATTAAATGAAAAATATTTATTTATTAGCGAGCTTTCGATGCATAACACATATTGTCTTCAGATTAATTGAGTGAAGAAACAAAATTTTTTTTTTCTTGTTCTTTTCACTGTAGTTACCTTATTTGATGAGATATGAGAAAAAACAAAAGAAAAACGGATAGAAACATTTCCTCTCACTTTTGACTTGACTTAAAAAAGTTCTAATTTGTCTAATTTTGTCTCTTTCTGACGTTATCGTATCTGGTAATTACTTTAATATATTTAGGTTATTTTCACCAATTAGAACAATGCTTAAGTCGTATTGAAGTATCATGCCTTGATATCAATCAAATACTTCATGTGGCAAGAAAATACGACCTATATCAGACATTATTACATATTTACAGTGAAGCATTTAGAGATTTTACAACAATATTTAAGGAAATTATGGAAAAATTAGAAGATAGTTTTGTAGAAAATAATGGTAAGTCATATATGACTTTGCGAGAAAAGAGGATACTTAGCTTGTTTTTCACTCTGAGTGATTACACAAGAGTGATCTCTCTCTTCTTGTCTTCTCGTTTTTTTTCAATTTTATACCTATTTTTCACGTATCACAACCACACATTCCTGTTGAGGTAGCACAGCTCATAGAAACTGAATTCGTTTTTCTCAAATATTTATATCTAATTTTTTCTGTTAGCCTTTTTATTATTTTAAAAAAAGGGAATAAAGCCAAAACACGTGTAAAAAGACAAGACTCTTCTAACAGAAAATGGTATTAATATGTATGTACCAATATCAGTACTTATACTTGACTGGCCAGTTTTTATTGGGTACTCAGTCCACTGGTACTGGTGCATACCTAGATATTAATCATCGATCATTTCCAGTCGGATCTCTAGATTTGAGAGATTATTTATTTATTTTTCTTCGTTCTGACCCTGATCCGACCATCTATAATATGCCCAAATTCTACCGGTTTCATTTGGACGCTGCCTGAACACAACGGTTAGATTTTACCGCTTCAATTTATATTCCACTGAATGACAATAGAGTGTACTATCAATATGAACTGATTGCATTCACTCATTATTTATCTGGCAGAGCAGCAAGATATATCTTCAAAGCACTCGTTTTCATCTGGAGTCCGGACGGATCAGGGTTAAGAGAGAGAACAACTTTAAAATTTTTGTTCCTAATTAAACTGTTGAATTCTGCTAAAGACATTAATCAGTGGCACAACTACAGAAGATCAATCATCTATGGTCTAACGAGATTTTGATTTAGTCTACTAGGATTTCAAATTTTGTAATTTCCTAAGCTAAAGATTTTGAAAAAACTTTTTGGATGAGTGTTTTCTAAGATTTTTACAGTATCATCTAGTTCTGTATTTCGATCTGATGAAAATTGGCCGAATGATCAAAAATCAACATTAATAAAAAGTAGTGATTTTGAATCTTACTCGTTTTATAGGTTCATATGAATATATAAAGAATTAAGCTTTTGTATAATGCAAAACCTGCTGTATTCTTTTATAAACAATTTCATATTTTATATCCATTTCTTAGTACTCTTTTTATTTCATTTAAGGTACTTACAGTGAAAAAATTATCACAATTGGTAATCAAGGATTAGTTTTTCTTCAGAGTACATTTGTTGGTGATATTTATCCATATGGTGGCCGTTTGACACCAGACGTAGCTAATTATGCACGAAATGAATTATTTGATTTAATTTCATTTTTACATCCAAGACAAACAGGTGGTCTATTATATACAAATTTACGAACATTATTACATTTTAATACACGTGATTTTTTTAATTTATTAACAATGGCATTTAATGATGAAGATTTTTTACACGCTATTGATATACTTAAACGACGAGCGTTTTTCGATATATTATTAAGAGTTATGGTCGATGATATATCGTTTACTTCAAATCAAATTGGAATGTTATTTGCATTCTTAGCGAGACAATTATCAAAACCTAAACAACAACATATATTTGTGCAAGGAATGTTATTTGAACAGGTAATCAAAATGTATAAGATGATTAGTTAACTTTTCTTTTAATATGTCAACTTATAGCTCAATAAAACAATATTAAGATTATTATGCCACATTTTTTCATTACATAACGTAACTCAATAGTGATGACTTAAAACGTAAGAGATGTGTGCAGAACTTGTATTATAGTTCGCCTTTCCTCCTGGAAAAAATTTATCATCATCTCAACTTCTCTTTTGCGAAAAATAACTTAAAATTACATGCTAAATGTGTAAAAATTCTATATTGACTGGAAAGTAATATCGAATTATCAGAAACTGCATGAAACTTCGATAAAATTCGCAAATAATGATTTTTATAATGGAGTAGAATTTCTCAAAATTCTCTACGACGCTCGAAAACTATGTAAGCTCTTATAACTAATAATTGTGCTAGCTTAGATCTTGCGAATGATTTCTTTGTTATACTACAAACTCTTTGGCAAAAGCAAAATAATTTATTTTGAAGGCTAAAATGAAGTTATTCTATTGTCAAGTTGTAGAAGCGATTGTTTGCATTTAATTTTAGTCCTATGTCGAATTACTATTTAGTCTCAAATAGTGAAAATGAATATCATCGAATAAAAACGACTGTTCTCTTTTTTTATTCTTCCACGATTGCAGATCTCACAAGTTGTCAGTTACATTTGTTGATCTAAATCTACGTTTTTCATCGATTTAGCGAACAATTGATTTCCATGTTGTCCATTCTTTTGTTTTTGATGACATTTTTCTTCGAAAAAATTGTAATTCTATTCTTTCTTTCTAGAAAAATGTTGATTCAAAGCTAGATGAGAATGTAACGATATAGAGTCGATAAGAGAAAAAATTAGATATAATAGACTTTATCGTTTGAATTTGATACTCCTATACTTGATTTTGTTAAATAAACAGTACAATTTGGATTTAAACTTTGTTTTGTTGTCCATCCACTATAATATACACAATTATCTAATATTGTATAATATTCTTTCAATTGATTTTCATCGGTTGGTAATTCAAGTAATGAATTTGGTACCGATTTTAATGTCATAACTGATATCTGAGAGTGATCAATTTTTAATGGATGATTCATAAGTTCATGTGTCATCAATATATTTTGGTCATCATCAATACCATGTTGCTTTTTAGGTGCAATATAGACAACGGAAACATTTTGTTCACCGTTTTTATATTTAGTACTATTAGCATCATCATTTTCTGACAGAGTATGTTGATCTTTCCATCTACCATCATTATAGGCTGTTATTGACATTGGACGAGCGTTAAACAATGAATTATCATCACTAAATTGTATAGATAAATGACGATTTTTATCAGTATTTTGTTGTTTGTGATAAAGATAATTATTCGTATTTGTTTTTGGTAATGAATAGCCTTCGTATCTTATTTCATCTGAATTCATAAAATATGAAATATAAAATAACGTTGCATCTTCATTATCCGGTTGCTGAACATCGTTGTTCAATTTCTTAATTTGCGATTGTGTTTCATCTTGAGCAAAATGATCTTCTAAAAGAATTATTAAAAAGTGAGATAACTTATTAACAGAACAATTAGTTCTTGAGAGCTACAATAAATTGAGATGATTAAAGATGCAATTTAAAAATTGTCCTCTATTTCTTCCTTGATAAATACTGACAGTCAACTATCGAAGTCATTCACATTCGGCAGTACTTAATACAATGAAAGATATAAAACACTATTTCTCTACATTTGATTTTAAAAATTTATCTAGTCGTTTTTTATTTTGATAGTAAGACACTATAAAACATAAATTTTTATGTTTAAGTGTGGGAAAAATTGATTGTGTTTAGTTAATTGGTTACTAGACAAAGCGCTTGTGTTACTGAATACATCACTGTTTTGTTTTCATTACCTAAGCGAATAGAAAAACCGTGTTTGGGAAAATATTTTATATGATAACATTGATTGATTTATTGTTGTTTTTTTTATCATACTGATCTCATGTTTCTACGCGCAGTTCATTATTTTACCCTCTTTGTGAAAACGTTTTTTTTTCCACTTACCGTCATTTAGTAACATTATGCTGGTTATGGGTGTTAAAAATCGTTCATCATATCGATTGCTTTGTTCGGTTTTATTGGACATATTGCTATACTGTCGTGGTTGATTATTTGCTGTTGAACAAAAAAATCATAATCGATTTATTAAGAACTTTTTTTGTAGTGACTTACGTAAATTTAAAGATAGTCTTGATGACACTACATCTGTTCTATCATCCGTATTCAGACTATTTTTTTCAGTCGAAAAATCATTCATTTTTGATTGAATGGGTGACGATTCGGATATTGCTTTCAAATATTCTTCTTCGCCAGTCTCATCTACAATTTGAAGAAAATGTGGTAGTATTATTATTTGGGAGGAAAAAAACATCACTTAATGACGGGTAAGGGTAGACGAGAGAAAAAAAAATTAATTATAAATACTTTAGCGTTTTCGAAGTTCCAGTATCATTTTCAGATTTTACCACTGTAAATTCTAGCTTGAAAAATCGATAATTATTTTTTTACCGTTATGGCCGGTAAAGTTCTTTTTCATTGGAATAGAAGAATTTAAATAGAACTAACAGACATCATGAAATTCAGAACGGCCCTTGATGAGTCCTGTGTGAAACGAGGCAGAATAGAAAAGATTATGTAATCTACACTTAAGCGGACGAGAAATCTAATTTGCTACACATTACAGTTTTACATGACTAAGAAGAAAACATAATATGATAAATAAGCATGTAAAAAGAATATAGATGCCTCAATCGGGAATCGAATCCTTTATTTTCCTGTATTTGTCTATCAGATTATGTTTTCTTCTTAGTTACGTACTCATATGTCTATGTCCATCTAAAATTCGTGTTTCACAATTTATCTACTCGTATCTTATTTTCTAGTTAAGATGTGTGTAGATGTTCAAATTCCGAAAAAAAATTGAATGACGATAAGTAATTAGTTATTGGGAACAAATTGAATATCGATGGTTTTCTTACTAGTAACGGTTAAGATGAGTTTTGATTGTGATGGTAATATTTCTCCATTATCTAATATGAGTAAATAATATTCTTTTTCATCGTCTGACTGTGTTTGTAATATATGTAAAATATGTTTTTTTTCTGCTCCATTTGAATCCATAACGATGATCATATTATTTTCATCATCAAATTTTTGACCTGATAATCTATTTACTTTATTATTATAAACGACGAGTGACGTACTGATTGTTGATAGTTCTGCGTGCTGTTCATCAACATCTGTATGATCGTTATCACTGACACTTCTAATAGCTAAATCAAAACTTGATAATAATCCATCAAAACTACTTTTCTTATGTATTGTTTCACTCTCTGATACATTCATGGCAACACGTTTCCATATTGGTCGATCTAAATTATTGTCGGTGAAACACATTATTGCTGGTATTTCTCTTACGTGATAATAATCCAACAGCGTTTTTGCATTTTCAACATCAACTTCATATAGATGAACACGATCTTTATATAAACGAGCCCATTTTCTGAAAACAGGTATTACTTTTCGAGAATATGGACAATATTTCCCATGAAATAAAACAACTGATGTTTGTTTATTGTTTTCTTTAACCGATAATTTCAATTCATTCAATGTTTGAACATTTTTAATATTATCATCCGATTGTATGTGATCAATATCTTGATTCATAGTGCTACGATGACTCGAATCGAACATAGATGGTCTCTGTCGCACTAGTTGTTCTCTCTCAATTTCACTTTCTGTTGATATTGTACTCGTTTTTCGTTGTTGTTGTGATACTTGTGTGAATGTTACATTATCAAAAATTGTATTGTCATTGAATTTATTCTGTTCACGCAATTGACGATTTTGAACTGCTAGCACTTCATTTAGTTCTTGAGGAGTTTTTGATGATGGTTTTGTATTATTTTCATCTAAATGATATAATGATGATGACTTGCCGTAAAAAGGATGAACAATTACATTCGAATCAGTAGGTTTCTGTAACTCTTTCCTTTGAATTTGTTTAATCACTTTTTTATCTTTCCCTTTGACTTTATCCTTGTCTTTTTGTTTCACTTTTGCTTTTTTACTTGATATAACGTTTTTGGTACCACAACACGATGCACCCATCTTTTTTCTTTGAACAGTTTATCATACGTTGTTAAGTTGTACTACATTTAATAATAACTATAGATAAAAGAATGATGATCAGTTCTCTTCAAACACAAGAAAATTTTTAAATTAAATTTCATATTAAAAAACAATAGTAAAAAAAATATGTAGAACTTTACGCAATTTATTCGGCGAAATTTCGACGTTATAGGCGCGAATAATTAACAATATTTAAATGATTTATTGTAACTTAAAGTGAATAGTTTACAAAAAGCTACTGTCTAATTGTTTTTGTAAAAATTATATTGGATTTTTCAAGTAGTAGATTTAAGTATTTAAGGCATTTTTAGAATTATTGCCTAAAACAAAAGGTAGAGAAAATCTTATTTGAAAAGTTTGCAAATAATAAGTAAACAGTTAGATAACGCGTCTTTAGCTATTGTTCTTCACGCGATTTTCAGAAAACTTGCTTTTTCAATTCGATACGTTATGATCTTTGGAAAAGCTTGTCCAATCGGTTTGAAAATCTTATCAGAGATACCTAAGAACATTTCTCAGGTGATCTCCTTTTCTTTTTGAATTAGAGCGAAAAAACTGAAATGCAAAAAGTCAATTTTCTAGAAATCTTGTTGTGACAAAAGCGAAAAGAAGTAGTAAAGAGTTTTCAATCTACTCTGAAAATATCAAGTCTTGATCATTTTTTGTTTCGTTTTGATAGCATATCTACAAAGTGCTGTAAAAGAGATGCGAGTTATCCTTAAAATTATTAGATATATGTACTGAGAAAATGCGTTATCTAACTATTTACTTAATATTTTCAAAATTTTGAAATAAGATTTTCTCTATCGTTTATTTTAGGCAATAAAATTTTATTTATTTGTTACAAGTAACATTAGACTATACTAGGATAGACAAATAATTTTTCTAAACTAATTCTATTTTATAAATTTACAACAGTCGTTTAACTAATTATTTATTTTTTCTAGGTATTAGAATATTTATGTAAAGCATCCAATGATAATTTACATCATGATGATCGTGAACAATCTTTATTAGATGTTATACAGGCAGCTGGTTTACATTCATTTGATTTAAAACGTTTACTAGAATTATGTCGTCATGCTCATTTTTGGCGTGTTTGTGAAATAATTTATGCTGAAAAAAATGATTATGATTTAATTATAGAATGTTATGCTAATGATCAAAAACGTATTACAAATATATTTCGTTATATTAAATCATTATGGCCAGCATTAAACGAAACAGATCGTATTAAAATATATAATAAATTAATTGAATATTTATCACCAATTATTTTAGCCGATTCATTTAAAGCATGTAAACTATTTTGTGTCTATTTACAAATTGATCTTGGAAAATTATTACGTTTACTAAATGATAATGAACAGGCACAATATGCTCTACTAAAAGTAAGATTAATCGAATAATAGTTAAAAATAATAATAGTTTATTATTTATATTTTAGAGTTGTTTTGATTATAATGATGTGAAAACCACACATTCATTGGTACCAATTGAACAAACATATGTTCTTCAATATATTGAATTATTATGTAAATATGATTCAACAAATGTTTCAACTTTTCTAAGAAAAAAATCGGATAATTATCATAAACAAGATGCATTACAAATTGTTCGAAAATATTCTAATGTTTCTTCCATTATTTATCTTTTAGAAAAATTAGGTGAATATTCGGAAACATTTGAATTATATTTAAAACAAATTCATGAATGTTGTATAAAATTTATTCATGAAAAAACAATTACAACTGATCAATTATCATCAGTTATATCACAATTACATTTTTATTCATTAGATTGTGTTCATTTTTGTCAACGAAATGGATCTAAATTAGAAAAAAATGAACGTGAACGAATGTGGTTAAAATTTTTAGATAAAATATTAGAATTATCGAGTTTAAATGAAAATATTATTAGTGAATTAAATCAAGAAACAGTGACTATTTATAAAAATGCTTTTCGACGCATTTATGGTGAAATATTGAACAGTATGATTGGTTATGTTACACTCCCAGGTGAGTCACATAATCTCAGTTTTGATATTATCGTTTAAATAGTATCAAAAAAGGACGAATGAAGAAAAAGAAAATGGAATAAAAATTTTATCTATATAATGTAAAATTAATTAAATTTGTTTTCTATTTTAGCAATATTAGAACGAATAATGCAAAATGATTCAAATCAACCCTCAAATAGTACTACATTAAGACGTTTTACAGATGGTCGAAGTACATTTGAAATTCGTCAATTAATACAAAGTATGATGGAAAATTGTTCATTTGAAACGCGTCTATTGGAAACAACAAATCGTCTTTTAAAACGTGATTTATATGATGATGTTAATCAAATGAATTCAATATTAAATAAAAGTGTATCAGTTCGTGTACAAACATGTTGTTATTGTCAAAAAACATTCTATGATAATAAAAAAAAAATTGTAATATTTGCTTGTGGACATATATTCCATACAAGTTGTTTAATCGAAATTAAAAATGAATGGAAAAAATATCATTCTACCATTTCAACAACAACTAGTAGTAAATCAATTAATATATTTGATCATTGTCCAGAATGTTCAACAACAACAACAACAACAACAGCATCTACAACAAATTCATTACAACCTACAACAACTTCTTCTTCTCAACGTCGTTTAACACGTATAGCTGCCGTAGATTCTTTTGCAGCATTAAATACAGGAAATGGAAATGAAAAAGAAACAATATTAAACATACAACAACAAGTGATTGATACAATGCTCGAACGAAAACGATTGAATGTTCGTCAATTACTAGTGAGCGATGAGAATAACAATGACAACGATCCCGCTAATAAATCATATTCATTAATAACAAATACTTTTTTTCCACAAGAACATCTAAGAAAAACTACAATGGATTTAATACCCGATAAATGGAGAGAATATCTATCAGAGACGAAAAATTAAGAATTAATACTTCATCATTCAAAAATTTATTTAAAATAAAATTATATCCAATTGTTATTCTTGTGTTTTCTCTTACTAGTCAAATGTTCTTTTCCTCGTTCGATTAATGTGCAATAATGTTTAAACGCCATTCCAACTTCTTTTTGTACATTCTATTTAAAGGGCTGCTTTTTGTGCATTATAACGATGATACTACTTCCACTTTTTGTATGAATTTCGACCTAATGCATTTTCAATTAATAGGCTTATTTTTTTTTCTGTATATATTCATTTCCCATCTATTTTTGTTTTGTTTACTATATTTATTAGAAATTGATATTGCTCAGTGTCTGTGTGTTTATGAGTGAACGAGAAATCATCAGAATAATAAACAATCAAAGCATATTGTAGAAGACGTATTTTTGTGTGATTTCCTGCATTTAATAAAAAAAAAAACGATAGATTTTTGTCTTGATGAAAATCTTTGCCGAATATCGATGTCTTTCAATAACTATGAAAAAACGGTTGTTGGTTGTTTTTTTCTAATAATTTATTTATTCCGTTATTGTAATTTATGTGTGTTTTGTAACGATTTGTTCAATTTTCCTTTTGATTGTTATAATTGAAGAAATAAATGATCCATTTTTAAAACAAAAGAGAAATATAATTGAGTGCGATAGTGAATCAGCTTAGTAATAGTAGATGGTTATGTTTGCAGTCACAGTCGAGAGTCACGGTGTTGTGGAGTCAGTAAATAGTCGAAGTTGTAAATTTATTAAAAGTTTCGGAGACGATCATTTAGTTCTGCTGCTGGTAAAGTAAAACAATGTGTTTACGAACCTCATCGACAAGTCGTTTCTTACACTTTGACAACAACAATTGATTCAACCAAACTTTCAGAAGTTAAAGTTTATCTTGTAAATGGATTATGATGAAAATTCGAGCTTAAAATATTACACTGTTCAGAACAGAGACCGCAGGACAGGGCAACAAAAAATTCCTTGATTTGCCCTGCGAGAGACTGATTTTTCAGATTTTCAAACTCCTTTTTAAGTAACATTTTGAAATCTGTCGTATATGTGAAAATAAAAATGACAGCCAACTTTTCTAACTGATAATTGATAATTAATAAAAAAAGATTCTGTCACGAGAAACACATCCAATGTTTTTGATGAGTTTCTTGAAGATAAAGTCTTCTAGGTTAAGGAGAAAAACTTTCTTTTGCACTACAGGGCGTCCTGCCCAGCCAGACGGGGCAAGGCAGAGCCCAAAAAAATTTATGAGTAATTTTTTGACAGGGCAGGATGAAAAAAGTTACTCCTGCGACGGTCCCTGGTTCAGAAGTCAGCGGTAACGCCGTTCTCACGATTTGACACGAGCATCTTTTCATATCTGAGAGTAGCTTCATTGACCTGTTTGATTTTAAACTAAGTGCAACACGTAGATCTAAAAAAACGACTGAGTCTGTACTTTTACGTTTATTCTGTTGTTTTTTGGAGCGCATTGTAATTTGACATCTGAAAAAATCCGTTTTGACTGTACCAAAAATTGGTATTTATCTTGAGAATGCACACACACTGGGTGTTATTTATTCGAGACAATCCATCCTTATCGATTGTTGAAGTTTACACTACCACAGCGCCAAAAGACACTGTCTTTTCATTGTTCCATTTCAAGATGTATAGAAATGGCTTATTAATTTGGTACTGAAATATCTCTCTGAAAAACCGTTTTATAATGTGAATATCTCAGAAGAATATGTAGCGAAAAAATAAATCAGATGTCAACAGCCTTGTTTTAAGGGCATCCGAGAAACTCTTTCAAAAATCGTACACGGAAGCGGACGCTTTCTGCTACACATTGCCGAGTTTACGTTCAAATCAGATTTTGCTAAAAAATATCTATTTAATTGATAGGAGCAAACCTTTCGATGAATACCTGAAGAGATTTCTTTCCTGATTTGTGCGATGAAGTTTCTGCACTATATCAGTCAGAGCACGTAGACAGTAGCGCTCAACTGTACATTGGCGCGATCAGAAAATTAGAAATCTAGTATTTTTCGCCTGCTACATAGAAAAACTTTCTTCTTTCTTTATTATCATTGCTGGGTTGAGTTCGATTTCTAGCAAAGAAATATAATTTAATGACATTGGTTTTATGTCGATTTTCTATTCGTTCTGATCAATTTATGGTATAATATGTTGTCTATACGCCAACATCCGCCCACGCACAATTCATCCCTCATCGTTCGATTGTTTAGTCTATTAATTGAAAGTTGTATATTTGCGTTATTATGTTCACATGCGTAGTTCATTCAGTCCAATTTTGGTTTCTCTCAAATCTCATTTATGTGCAAAAAGTTTCAAAAAATAAAGCACAAATCAGATTTGCAAGAAACTATAATTAGATTAAATGCGCTCGCTGATTTAATATATTTAAATATTACTCACTCTTATGCGTCTTTCCTCATGTACCCTCATTTCTAAATTTCATTACTCTTCTGTCGTTTCTTTCTAAACCGACGAACTACTTAAGCGGATTCAAAGCAAAGCTGTTCATTCAATTTACGTAGAACTTAATAAAAGTTTATTTATGCGCCTGATGAATGTGAAAGACTATTATATTGGTTTATCAGTTTTTATTCTAGATGTTTGTGTGTCTTAAGAACGCTTAAAGGTTTTACAAAGTAGGAAATTTTTTAGTAAAAGCTGACACTTATGTGAATCTGTGGAAAAGTAAGCAAGACATCCTCACATGATAGTACATGATTCGAATACAGGCACAAATTTATTTAAATTATTATTCATGGATTACATAGTATGATTATGATGTTTACATGTTAGGATCTGATCATTAAGCACACACACATCATAAAAAAGCATGAATAGATATCTATAGAATTAACATTTATTATTTAGAAAAATAAACAACAATATTACAATATAAAATATTTTTGAAAAAAACAAAATTTATTCACGTAATAAGTAATAAAAAGAGAAAAAAGGAAATGGACTAAATTTACTGTGAATAGTTCTGTTTTTTTTGCACGAATGATTTCAAGGTATCACTATATACGCATTATTATACGTCATTGTTCTTCTCTTATCACCATTTTTCTCTTATTTGCGTTCGTTTTTCTTTTCTAATCACATTGACCTACTGTACCGTATATATCTTCACACATATATATATATATATATGATTATATATATATATATATATACTCATACAGAGATTGTACGTTTTATTTTATTTCATTTTTTTAATTCTTCGCTCTACTGGGAAATTCAATCTGCGATATCTCTTGTCGAACGGCGCATATCGACATTCCACTTTAATATAAAGAACAAAAGAGGAAAAAAAAATAATAATTTGGTGTGTGTATTTTCGTGTTATACAATTTTGATTAAAAAAACATCATTTCTATATTCAATCGTATGGGAACACAAGATACAAAAAAAGAAAAGTGTGGCGTAGTATAATAGTATGTGAATAAGAGAAAATAGATTGGAACTGATAGCTAAATTATGCGAAAAGAGAGAAGATATGAATAACGATACTTTTATTCTTTCTTTAGTTGAGTGTCGTTTACAATCAATCAATTTTGATTATAGAATGCATCCTCTTTGTATGTATGTAAAAAAAAGATTTTTCAATTTTATACTAGCGTGAAGATAGATAGACAGACTAGTTAAAAGTTGTTAATAAATAACCTTTAAAAACAAAAATAGATTTATGGAATGTCAAATTTTTTTGTTAAAAAAGGAATATGGTAAAAATGTTTTGGTTTCTCTCTATTATTACAACTAAGTTTAGAGCATTTTGAGCAATGATGCGTAACAATGACTGAAGTTAGAAACAAATTTATGATGATATAACTGAGGTAGAGTAGAAGAGTTTAAAAAAAGAGTAATAAATATTGTGAACACCGCTAGCACTAACTGTGTCATTTTGATATTCGTTATGTTTAAAATGAGTGTGTTATGATGTGCATATCAGAATGATATATCTAGAAAGAAAATGTACTCTTTTACCATACACTAGATGAAATAGTGTTCACATAAATTTAGTAAAAATTAAAAACCTATTATATAGGAGTTTTTGTTTATTTTTATTTTAGATATTTATTAGATGGAACATTCGTTGGAAAATCATCTTCTTGTTTCACATGAAACATGTGGCTATCAAAATCGAAGTGATGCAAGTGATGCAAATAGTGTAGATAGGTATGTATTAAAAGATATATTTACTCTAATTATCAATAAAAATTCATGAAATTGAAATCATTTTTCTATTGTTTTTTAATATAGTGCATTCAGTCTGGACAGTGTGACTAGTCCGAATGGTTGTTTAAATACAACAATGAGCAGTGGAGATACTTTATCACATACTGTTTTATTTGATGAATTGAAACGTGTTAAAGAGGTAGAAAAAAAAAGAATAATATTTTATGTTTTTAGAGGAAATAGTATTGTTTTTCTTTAATTCGTTTATAGGATTTGAAACAAAAAGACGATGAAGTTCGTCGTGCTAGTGAATTAAGAGAAAATGTTGATAAAGAAATTCAAGATCTAACAGCATCCCTCTTTGAGGTATGTAAAATATATTATTGTTGCATTTAATTACTCTTTAATTCTCTATTAATTTTTTTTTTGTAGTCTGCACATTTAATGGTAGAAGACGCAAAACGAGCTCAAAGTAACACTGAACAAAAATTAAAAGTGGCTAATCAAACTGTAAATTAATTTAAATATCAATATTTTCTCAGAAATAGAAACGTTTTTTTTCTATTTTTATTAGATCGAAGCATTACTAGTTGAAAATTCTCAATTGAAAAAAACTGTTACGGAGTTAAAAGACATCGTAAATAGTTGTCGTTCGTCAATATCATCTACTTCTCGTTCATCAAACTCTCTTTCAACTACACCATCTAATTCAATATTAGCGACTTCACATTCAATTTCATCTTCAAATTTTGATCAATCATCAATAATTTCAACATCTTCATCTTCTCCATCAGTCCCATTATCCAAAAAACTCAAAGACAAATGTAAACAACATATTCGATCATCTTCTGATTTACAGTCATGGTCTACAACGAATTTTTCAAATATTAATAATGATTATGAACAAAATTCCGATATGAATGATGTAAGTAATGATGATAAATGTTTAAATAAATGGTTTGAATTTTGTTTTCGTTGTCAGGATAATTGGCCATTGGTAAGAAGGAAAGAGTTTTGTTCTTGACCTAACACAGAATTAACGATGCCAATCTATTATTGTTGTTATTATTAGTTTTTTTTTTGATGGGTACTGCTTTAAAAAGATTCCTTTGTTTCACTTTTGAAAGGTAATCTCTCATCCAAATTTTCAAATAATAGTTAGGCAAGTGTGATATACTATGAAAGAGAGTTGAAATTTGAGTCTATTTGTTTCGCTTGTTTTTTTATTTCGTTATTGCTTCATAATAAATTATGATTATTTTTTTAATACAATTAGCTTTTTCATATTAAAGAGTAGCAGCTAATTGTATATATTATTTTTTAATCGCTTATGGCTCTTAAATTTGCTTGATAATACTCTATTTGACATTTAAATTTTATCTTCAGGTTAATAACGTTATTCTACGAGAATTTGCCAGATGGGAAGAAAATCCAACTATTGAACGTTATTCTTCTGCGTTTATGCATCGTGTATATAACGAAGACATTGGTCCATGTTTATCCTTTCCAAACGCTGAGGTAAATAAAGTGTGTGTGTGTGTGTGTTTATGATGAACTTTTTTTTATTCCTTCAATTATTTTTTCCTAGCTTTCCACACGTATAATCAACGCTATTGAACGTAATGAGGTGATAATTGAAGCTTTTCATCCTAGAACGCCAGAAGAAGCGATGAAGTAAGTTTATTGTTAATTTTCATTATTAATCAATTATAAGGAATTAACATTTTTTTTTGAAGAGTTTGCTCCCTAACTGGTGACTTGTGTCAATGTGATTATCGTATAAGATTAGGTGAAAAAGGTGATTGGTATCCATTATCACATCTTTCAAGAAATAGAGTAAGTGTTTGAATCCAATGAATAGTCACAAAACACCGATAGTTTATTTCTGTTCTAGATTGCAAGTGTTTGCGATTTTTTCACTTATATTCGTCATGTTCAAAATGGTTTGGTCAAAACAGACAGTAAGATAATTAACAAAGAAAATAACTCCATAGAGAAATGATTCATATGCTTCTATTGTCAGAGATGTCTGTATAATTTTTCTAAGACTATACTTAGACACTTAACGGTGAAACTAAAAAAGCTATGAGAGATGATTGTCTTAAATAAGTTATATGTGTCTTATTTTTTAGCTCGTAGTCGTTACAATAAAATTATTGAATTAAGAAAACAAATGGCCTATGCTCGTCTTGGTTTATGAGAGTCGTATAACTGATTTATTTCTGTTATTCGAAACGCGTGCAACTCGATATATTTTTGATGTATCTGGCCTAAAGAGTATTCCCGTCCACGATGTTATAACCATCAAATTTCTATCTCTTTATTTAGAACTGCTGTTATCACATAAAACAACAACAACATATTTTCATTGAATTTTGTTTCAAAATAATGTTTTTGTGCACACATTTTAGCATTTATTTTTTATTTTCTGTCGTCGGAACAAACGTTTATTTTATTTTTTTTCCCTCTGTAAATATAGATTATTTTGTACATTCCATTTTCTTATTTAATTCTATTAGTCATCATTCACAAAATTTGAACAACTATACATTTATGTTGCTTTCTTTTCCAAGCAAAGAGCACATTTTTTTAAAAATCTCGTTTTTGTAGGTTGATTTCCATTCATGTTATTATTGAATGCTAATTTGATGCATCAAAGATCTTTGTATGAAGAGAGAAGATGTTATCTGGTTGTCTATTTTTTCTTGCTCTGTTTGTCTTCCACAGTATTATTTTTATTTTGTTGTTATATTCTTTGATTGTTCTTTAATTCTACAAAAAAATTTTACTTTTTTTGTTGTTGTTAATGTGTTTTCTACATGTACGTATTTTCTGTTTGTTTTCATTTTTGTTTAATTTGAACATGTGAATAAATGTATGCGATGATGATAGCAACGTTATGACTTGCTTTAGTCTGAGTAAATGCATGTCAACGACAAATTTTATTTACAATTTGATATTATCTTTCTTAATTACAAATGAATTTATTGACCACAATCTACTACACTATAAAATCTTGTTTAGTTGCCAATGGATTATGCCAAAAGACGATGTTGGCATTGTTGATTATTTTAATGCAGAGATGGTCAACTCCAGCTAAGTTCAACTCCAACTCTGTTACGCACTTATTTTGTTTTGATTCGTTTTCTTCTTTACTTTTATTAGTAGCTATTTATGTCATTTTTGTTTACAAGAGTAGACACAAAAATAAGATATTTTAATAATTCAAAATTACGTTTCAACAATATTAATTTTCAGAGAGTACTTTTGATCATATGATCATCAGTTACATATATGCACGTGAGTACTAGTTATGATATATGAAGAATATATAACCGTTGAACACATGTTCACATCGCTTTCTAAAGCAAAAATGTGTGATGTGATGTAACAGAAAAAGGGAAAAAATTGTTAGAGCTGTGAAAAAAAATCGTTTTTGTGTAACTTTTCGAGAAATAATGCGGTAATTGAGAGAAGAAGGTGGTATAAAAATGTTCAGCGGATTGAGCGCTATCATCCAGACTACACTGCTTATTCGTTTGGTCACCCAAATTGTGAAGCTTCCAGTGCACAAGTTAATCTATACTTTCGGGTAATGTGGGATTCTGAAAAAAGCAGGAAAAATGCTAGTCAAACAACGCACACTTACAACGCAATATTATTAACAACAAATATTATATTCTCAAATTTAAACGCAGAAATGACAGGAGTAAGTTTCGTGCTAAGCGGATAATTTGGACTTACCCTGCGGATATATAAAAGTTTTGCACACTCAGACTGTTAATGAGTATCGCTGATGTTAACGTTTTTCTCGAGAACTGGAAAAATCTAGAAACATTAAGTTGAAATAAACTTTTCTTTCTTAACAATTTCGTAGTACAGAGCGTTCGATAGTTTGACGCGTTGATTTCGAATATGCCATTTCTTTTGATTAAAAATATATTTCTGCTAGAAATAAATGGATTTTACATGACAAACCTATTGTGAAATCCAGATAAAAAGTTGCATTTACTGCAAGTCTACAAGACCTATGAGAGTATATGGAAGATTTCTCAGTTTTATAGAACATTGGGAAAAGGTGGAAAATACATCACACTGACGAGCTGATTTTCCGAGGACTTGTTAACAGGAAAATTTAGATCGGAAAAATATTTCCCCAAGAGAAGATTTTTGATTTCAGGAAAATATGGTGATGTTTGACCCTTTTTTGGTATATGACTTTTTCCAACACTATACAACTTAAACAAAAAATTCTTATTACGAAAAGATAGCCCACAATATGAATATTATCATTTACTATCTCAGAACAAAAAATGCTCACTTTCATTTTTCCACTAAATCTCCGCATCACTGCCCACTGCACCTTGGATTGCCGGATGGATGGAATTGACGTAGATAACATCCACCAACATGTGGGTTATTGACCCAGAGAAAAATCCAAAGTAAAGTATTTTTAGAATATGATATATTGTACATTAAGGAAAGTGGATGAATTTTCTTTGTTGTTAGAAATAGTTATCAAAGTTAAGAGCAATATTTTTAACGTATTTTTATTGGTGAGAAAACTTTTAGAGGGATGAGAATACTTGCGAATATCTACGAATACTTTCGAGTATATAAGAATTCTGGATACGCGAATCGGCTTTTCCCCCCTTGGATATAAACATGCGACACATTATATTTTACTGTGAAGAAAAATCAAGTTATTTGATTTGTGCGTACAATATGACAGTCGATCCTACGCGACAAAATCCTACGCGATATTACAATGCGATTTTGTAGAGCAGAAAATTTTCTGTTTTCTAAAGTCAGAATGAAGTCTTGAAACCATACGGGATATAGATAAAAATAGATACATGAATAACACCATCATTTCAGGATCATCCGTTCTTAGTGGCAAAATGTTAGGAAAAATTTTATTTCTCATGCGGATTAATTAATGAAGACGAATTCTTTACAGAAAGTATCTGTGATGAATAGCTAGTAGAACCGTTATTAACTAATCAATTAGATCAAGTACAAAAGTAATTATAACCTGTTCCTTCCGTCGCAATTATTCTTCTGCACTATTTTCTAAAATAATGAAATAGTATGTAATGAAAGAAGATAATGGATTTTGTAGAGCAGAAAATTCTCTATCGAATAAGTTTAGAATGGAATCTCAGTTGTGCTTGGGAGAAAAGAGAACAAAAGTGTGTCATGATTTCTGGCCCACCCGTTAGTAGAAGAACGCACATATAAAAAAGAGTGAATGGATAACGGAAATACCTTTTTAGCCTATATAATGATCATTTCTACAAATTTCTCATCAAAGTATCATATTGTCGTCAGTAGCATGAAGGAGAAAAAAACGAAGATATATTTATACAATGTCTCACATAATAAGAATCAAGCATCATTTAATTATATGACGACTATCATATTGTACGTACAAATCAAATAACTTGATTTTTCTTCACAGTTAAATATAATGTGTCGCATGTTTATGTCTAAGGGGGAAAAAGCCGATTCGCGTATTGTTAGGTATTCGAAAGTATTCGCAAGTATTCTCATCCCTCTAAACGTTTTCTCACCAATAAAAATACATTAAAAATATTGCTCCTGACTTTGATAACTATTTCTAACAGCAAAGCAAATTCATCCACTTTCCTTAATGAACAATACAGAAAAGTGGATGACATAGTCACTCACTTTTCTGATGTCAAGTTTTATTCGAGTGTTTCTCTATTGCCGCTTAGTATACACTTTAAGTGTATACTAAGCGGCAATAGAGAAACACTCGAATAATATTACCTTGAAAACAATCCAAGTACTTACAAGTAAATTCACTTCTGGCAAAAAGACAAGTACCGGCTTCATTACGCAAGCGGAGTACTTGTCTCAAGTACTTCGGCACAAGTACGTTCTATAGGTAGTGGCAGCATCCTGATTATATCAATCCCACATAAATCACATAAACAATTGACAGAACTTTCATTGAGCTGTGCTTAATTTTTTTCTGGAGAGGAAAATGTTATGAGAGGAGGAAGGGAACGCTGGCTGGGAAAATTGTTTATGGAAATTCAAGGACGTTTTTCTAAAACAGAAATTCAATTTTCTATACACTGAAAAATCCTCTAGGCATTCCTACAGATCCTCTTTGAAATTCGCCGAGCATTTTCCATAAATAATTTCAAACCTTACAGTGTAGTCTTTCTAATACAGTACGATAGAACACATGATTACTGGTAATAGCAGATAATATTACACTTCTGATGATATGTCTAATTCATCGTTATTTTTTCTAATAGTTTATTTGAGTTTAAACATGAACAATTCATTCTAAGAAGATTTATCGTATCAAACAGTTCCTCGACAAAGGAATAAAACTATGCTACATTAGTCTGGAGCATTAAGGCAACTATTTTAATTAATATTGTAAGAAAATACACATCTAATCAGTAATAAGATGTAAACACGTACCGAGCCTTGAGCTCTGATCTCAAATGTTGCTTATTTTCGATATTCAAAATCCCCAATCTCTGCCGAGTTTCTATGTCAGACTTAATCAGTTTTCTCTGTTCTATCTGAAACTAGCACTATAATTGAATAAATTCAATAAAACGGTATTGGGTCTGGTAAGGCTCGACTAAAAATCCAAAAAATTGGTAAAACGACATCATCTTTTACACTAAGGATTAGGTGAAACACTTACATTACATAGTTGGTTTGCTAGTTAAATTGTTTTTAAAGTATAAGTAGTAAACAAAATAGTATTAGTATATAATAAGTACTGGGAAAGAGATCGCTTAGATACAGTTGATAACTTACTGTTATTAATCTACTTAAGAAGATGTATTTGAATTGAAACGGTATTTAAAAAAACGAAACAGGGTATTCAGAGTATTCACTTCGAATGAATAGTGTATAATTACATAAATACTGATCATCAGTATAATGACTTGAATTACCCAAACAGTTTTAATATTAACTGTGCCAACTCCGAATTTAACTAGTATGCCAAGTTGAACTCAAAATTCGATATTGTATAATTTCATATCTACAGTTCCAAAGTTTGAAAATTTTAGTATAAACTTCGTTTGAAACAATGTCTTCTATTACCAGATAACTATAGTGAAAAAACCTTTTAGAAATTGACCTGTTTTTCACATTGGTTTCTAAATAACTTAATTTTATCAGTTTTAACTATTATACATGTTAAATTAGATTTAAATTTTGCCAACAGATGTTCTTGTTCTATTTCTGTTGGTAAGAAATAAAGAAAACATACAGAAAAAACAAAAAGTTGTAAGAAGGAAATTGTGAGGTAGTTTCTAGCGGCCTCTATTGAAATAGAACATTCGCGTGGTGCAGTATTGTATATTATATGTCGATTGTGTTGTTTTCATTTGAACGATGGAAATGAGATTGTGTATTATACCATTACCTCTGCGTGAAAATCTGTGAATTTTTTTTTACATGGGTAACTAAAACCTGCAGGTGGTCTGTTGTCGTTGACACACATTCGTAAATGGCAACTACAAGCATGCTGCCGTTTGTGAAATTTGATGATGGATCCTTCGAACTACCACTGAATTGTTTTCCAGTTCGAAATCTTTTGAGAAATACGTCCAATCGTAAGTTTTATGATGGGTATTACGCATGAACTAATAACAGAATAGGTGTATTTTTGCACTGTCTTAATAGAAAGAATCATCCAGTACATGACAAGAACGAATGAACTTTCTAGTGATGCAGTCCTTTATTGTATTGGTAGATTTATCCTAGAATATCCCCGGAGCTTCACTAATTGGAATTTTTCTGTTTGATCAGACACATGTTAATTTCATAAGTTTCTGTTTTTCTCGTAGCTGATTATGCTTGGGTGGTTGCGTTACGTGACACACAAACCCGTCGATTTGCGGCAATATTAACGACTCAGTCAAATCTCGATAATATTCATGATGAAACAAAGAAGAAAAAACGACCACCGAAGGAAAAACTTGTTGAACATTTACTTGACGGATTTTACATTGTGAGTTCTTGTATTTCAGTAAGAAAAGTGAAGGTTGAAACTATTTTTATTCTACTTAGATGCATCATTGTGCAATTGAAGATCCTGCTAATGTTGCTATTCTCAATATATCTGGCAGAGATCTAGAAGAAGTAAAAGAAGAAGACTTTTATTTATTTGATAATGTGATTAAAATCGACGCAAGTGAAAATCAATTACCATTTCGTATGTGCAAATTACACCATTATCTTGTCATGAATCTTTGTTATTTCTTCTCGTCTAGATGGTTTTAAAACATTTCCAAATTTAAGTGAACTTACACTGGCATTTAATCAGATAAAAAATATTAAATTAAATGTTGGTGATTATGAGACACTTGTGGTATATATCAAATTGTTTATTTCTTAATGGATAGTTATTTCAATGTTTACTTCTAGGAACTTGATGTCTCTTATAATAATCTGACAATGCATGATTTTGAAACATTAGGTATTTTACCAAAGATTCGAATACTTCGTGCAAGTGGAAATGATTTTTCGGCATTACCAAGAAGATTAGCAAAACCATATGTTCATACAGATACGTAAGTTTGACAACAGTTATCATTGAAAAGGAAAACAATCAATTAATTTTTTATCTGAAATACTTTAGCGTTTTATATCGATAAAAGTTAGGTATGAATAGCTGCTTTTTTTAACTTTTACAATTATATTATTTGTATTACAAGCCAAATTACTTGAAAACGTTTTTTTTTCTAAAAGCTATATACCTATTTCTGCGTTGCTATTCCTTTTGCCATCACTATAAAATTCTTCTCACTTTTCTTACAGCCGTATTATAATTTTTTTTATACTTTTAAAATAATCATAAGCCATATGAGTAACTGGCCACAATTTGTTTTCTATCAAGTATAAAATATATGTCAGGCAACGTATTACAAAGTTCGAAGAGGTTTACATTAATAAAAAGACGATTCTATAGATGTATCCTATTGTTCATTTGACATGCAATATTTTTGTCAAATAGTTCTTAAGGGTACCCCGCCCCCTCTTTTTTACCCTCTTGAAAATCGGGGAAGCCGATGTCGGATCGAGCTGAAATTTATATCAGATAGAACATCGAAAAAGAAAATCAATGTATTTTTGCCCAGAATTTTCTAATGTGTCTTTCTATGGGTTCAAAAAAAAACTAGTTTTTTTGTCTGATCTTTAGCATTTTTCGGATATCTCGAGAAGGAAAGCATATTTTTCGAAAAGAAAACACCTAACATCAGATAGGGTCTGAAGTATCTGTGGTAAAATTTTGGGCTCGATCGGATCATTGTTTCGAGGGTTCGTAATGTGAGCTGATGAAAACTGGAGTTCTTCAGAAAATCCATAGAAGAACACGTCAGAAAATTCTGGGCAAAAATACATTGATTTTCGTTTTTGATATTCTATCTCTGATATAAATTTGAACCCGATCCAACATCGGCTTCCCTGGTTTTCAAGAGGATCAAAAAAGAGGGGGGGGGGTACCCTTAAGAGGCACATGTAACTATATACACCTGGGTAT